TCAGATTTGGTAAGACAGGTCGAAGCTAAGTTTCTCGATTGCCACACAATCAGCGGGGGATTGTTTGCGGTTCTTTTGAGTTTCTCCCAGTGCAGAGACCAAAACAAAGGCACACAAATTAAATTCAAGAGTAGAGTGAAGAAAATATTCAGACTTCCCCAGTGGAGAAGAAAAAACACAAGGCGATAAAGCCAATGAACGCTATCATTATACACAGGCAAACTGAACAGAACACGCTCCGAGTTCAAACTTGGGTTTGTATCTACGACCATTTTCCGCTTTTCGGCTTCAATTGTATTGTTATCTTTGTTGCTGTTAATTGCCCATCCACGTTCAGTTGTTCTTGCTCAGATGGTTCAGTATACATACTATATGCATGGGTATTATGTATACAAAAACAAACAATTATTCAGCTGGGGTTAATATAGGAGTACTGGCATTTACAAGGAAACAAAATGTTGAAATACGTTTTGAAATGTAAGTTTGCTTTGGTTTTTAAAAAGGAATATCCTTAAAATTTAAGATGTATGTACATATAATTTATACATATTTGATAATGTAAACTTGTTCCTATTTAAATGGTTGCTAGAGTTCTTCTGAGTCAAGTAAAGTTTTCTATAACTGAAACCAGTTATCACCCCCATTTTTTCTCTGAGTGCTCTGTTTATGTACTCGATCATGTGGGTAAATATTCTCGTACTTACTGAGACCAATGGCCACAAAGACAGCGGATGACAAAGACCACATCTACAGCCACATTCACATCCACATCCACATCCACAGAGGATTGGAGTCAAAGCAAACCAGCCAGATTGGCTGTGACCTTACACACACCATTGGAAGCTAATAATCAAGAAGCAGTTAAATGGCAAGCCGAGTACAAAACAAAAAGAAGCAGGTCCCCAAGCTCAGGCCAAAAGCTTTAACTCCACTTGGCCCAAAACAATATCGAAAAAAAAGAAAGAGACAACCGAAAAGCCAGACATTTTCGCATTTTGAGGTTATTTCAACAAACGTCAAACGGCAAACGAGTAAATTGCAAAGCACAAGAATCAACCTCAACCCCAAAAAACAGAAAAGAAACAGCTGTTGACCAACTCGAAATTCACTTTTTCGGTTTTTGCATAAAGCCAAACTGAAAACGAACAGCGAACGGAGTGAAGCCAACAACAAAGTGTACATCGAATTATCTTTAATGTTATGCCTTGGCAAATGTTTTGAAAACGCTCGAGAAACGCTGCCTGATTGAAGTGTTTCTTTGAGAAAACATTTTCTTGATTTCGAATGGTCTTTTCGGGCTTTGTTTTGCATGTAATTAAAATGATCAAGGAACAACAACTACTACACGTTTAATGAAACTTAACTGAGAATAATTAATCAGCATTGGTTAATTGCTTATCGTTACAAGGTTAATCAATAATGACCAATTTTTATAAAATGAATGGATGTAGTACTCGAAAAATAGATAGACAAGAGCACTAACTAGTAAATCTAGGAAATGGGTTCAATTAAGATTAAAAACTTGTTTTTATTGGAACACTCATTTATTATTTTGGAAGGTATCTTTAAAATACCTCTAGTTGTATCACAATAAATGGCTTTGCCTAAAAACTCGATAAAAGTCAAGAGCAGTGAACCCTAGTGCTCCCAAAGGTGAAAAGTAAATAATTTAATTTAAACCGGTTTCAGTAGAAATTAGTCATTGAACCTTAGATTCGTTCTTGATTAAAAAACATGCGCAAAGGTTAGAGTTTACAAGTAGCTCATTGAAATGCGAAAAAAGCCCATTTGAATGCTTTCAAACCGGACAGCTGCCTTAAATTCAATTACTTTGTTTATGTAAATTCTAGAAAAGAAAAAACTGGCACGTGCCAAGATACATTATATAAGAAATGGGTTTATAGTTATTTAATGCTTCAACTACTGTTATGACACATTCAGTTAGCAACTAAGCGTATTAAAGTTTGTTCTTTAAAACCTTTTCTATTTATCTACTTTGCAAACGTATTTCTTTGGAATTTCTAAAAAGTTTCATAAAGTTATCTAGCAATCTTTGAAGTTGGTCTAGTTTCCACCCGCAACCTCATCAATCATTTGATCTGGCCCCAAATCACGTATGGCTAAGGAAACCCAACAAAGTGGAGATAAAAAGCGAAAAGAGGGGAAAAAGAAGAGAAGCGAAGATAAGAGAAGAGAAGAAGCAGCGGTCGAAGAACGGAGAAATATTTTGTTGTGTGTACTCAACTTTAAGTGGCACTTCAACTTCGTGTACGCCGTTCAACTCTTCGGTGAGGTGTTTTATTTTTCAGTTTTTTCTGTTTTTTTTTTACGCTGGGGAGTCGTTGGGGTGGCGAGGAGGGGGGTGTTTCTTATTTTTGGAACAAACATAAACAACGGCGAGCAAGAAAAACCAGTTCTATGGGGCGAAGGCTAGAACATGTTGCACGTCGTCGTACCGCCAAGCAGGTTGCCTCGCAGACTCCCTCTCCCCCTCCCCCTTCCTCTGCTCCTCCCTCTGCCCCTCCCCCTTCGTTCATTCGCATTTGGAGCATTGAGTGCAGCAGCCCATACACAAAAGCTATTTCGGGGCACTCTTCGGGGCACATTCATATGCGTTCTGTATTTATATCGTATAGTATTTATTTATTCCATTTTCATTTTCAGGGGACGAAACCGAGTTGTCCCTCCTTCGAAAACTCACACCCCTTGAATGACACATTTCCAGGGTCGAGCCCCGTCAGTCAGGAAGTTTGACGAAACCAACAATAACTGCAGGCGAACAGGAATATCCAGCTCGTGATACACCGAGAGAAAAGAACAGAAGTGCTAATTTGGAAAGGAAATGTATGGTTTCCATATAAGGAAGAGTTCTAATTACATATAAATAATAACAGAAAGTACTGGAGTGTTTTTCTTGAACTACAAAACAATTATGCAATGGATTTTTAAATGGTAAGCTCTTTTTTTGATTTAAGGACTTATTTTTCTTTGTGCAAAGGGTCGAGCCTTCCAAATTGGTGTGATTGAACGCTTTCAAGGATAATTGTCATCAGCAGAGGAGGAAGCCGAAAAGCAAAAGGCACGGAGCAGAATACAAAGCCCGTGGAACGGCTCTTTGTTCCCTCCGATCAGCATAATAATAATTTCAACAGGCAAAGTGCGTTCGCTGGGGGCAGAATCGGTATTAAAGAAAGAGATAGAGAGATAGGGGCAGGGAAAGAGACGGCGCGAAACGGCTCCGTCAAGTGACAATCGCGGAAGTGAACTGCCGCTGACGACGTGATTTCAGCTGTTCAAAAATTCGCCGTCGTTATTAACGTGTTCAACAGCAACGTGGCCCAAATGCAAAAACAACGCTCAAGTAAAGTGGTTAAAAATACTTGCTACGCATTTGGAGCAGTCATCGCCGTCGAAGTAAAAGCCACAGAAACAACAAAATAATAACAAACAGCGAGTGTCTGGGCTGAGATAAGATAAGAAGTCCAAAGGGAAATGAATTTAGAGCGATGTAAAATGGGAAAACGAAAGCAAAAACTATGGTTATTCATTCTATAATTATCTTAAACCATTTTATGTATTTCCTCCTAAGATCTATCCTATGGAAGCAAATCCAGACTATTTATACATACCCTAGATTATAAAGTTGGGAATTTATGGTGGACCTTGTCCTTTTGTATTTCAAAACAAATCAATTAATGTTTGATAAGACTGTGAACTTTAAAAAGTTATTATCAGGTTTTTAATTTCTTATGTAGAATTTCACACATTTAAAAGTATTTATAAATGTTTTTATTTCATCTCTCTCCCAAAGGTTTATGATTATTAATATTATTTCAGACTTCAAACAGTTTTATTTCAATAAGCAAGTTAATTTATACGACCTTCGACCAATCCAATTGCCTTGTCAACAAAAAGTTTTCTAATAACTCTGACTCAATATGTAGTTCATTGCTATTCTGCAGGAAAGTGATTCTCAGGCGAGAATTATTCCAGCTCGTTTTGCATTTCCCTCGGCTGAACCAATTTCCATGTCACGTATAATTTGCTTAAATGCCAGGCGGCGGGCCCAACCAAGTACGTTCGAAATATGGCTGTGCTAAACTTAGAATCAAACACACACCGATGGGACCTGCACAGTCGTACTAAATAATAAACACCCACGCGCTGCATTTGCGAAGAGCATGAAACAATGCAAACGTGGGGGCCAAGCGAGGCTCCAATGCAACAGCGCCAATTGCCATTTTCTGTTGCTGTTTCTGTTTCTGTTGCTGTTTCGCTTGCCGCTTAAGTCTCTATTTAATTTCTGCCTGTACAACAACTGGTGTGTGCCAATGTCAAGCTGCCTGCCTCTTGGAAGCCAAAGCTCGGGCCCAAACCCAAGAACTTTGGTTATGCAAAGAGTGCGCCGCGAGTCTTGCAGTCGCAAGCAAAAGTTTTGGATCCGATACGCCCACCAACACGCCCCAACCATATGTATTTGTTATTGTCTTGCGACGAAGCAAGTTGCTTGGCGAGTTTCTAGCTAAGAAATCAAAGAGCTAAAAACTTATGGATATGTATTGGCCAAAACATGTTTACATATTTATAGTAATTAATTTCTGATTTCAAAATAAAAAACTCTCACTAATAGCTACATACATATTTTTATCGCAAAACAACAATAAGAAGTAATTATAGAATTTTCCAGAATAGTAAGCTGCTGTTTTAAATAACTGAACATATGTTGCCCTATACGTAATTTAGCTTTTTCTGGCCAGATTTAAATAACAAGCCCAACACCACTGGAGAACATGCGCGTGTACGGCTTAGCGGAGAGCGCTTGTGTGTGTGCGTGCGTGTGTGTGAGCGAGAGAATTTTATTGATTAGTCACAAGGCTAAATAACAAACTGTCGAGTCTGCCGAGCAGCTGAGGTTTCCAACAGCAATCCCAATAAGAATCTCGCAACTTTCCAATTGGACAGCCCCGGTGCAGGTGAAGTCGAAAATTCCCGAAACTCACCTTTAATTGCGCCAAATTGTTGTCCCTCGCAGCGTTGAAAACAATGAATTTGTAATCCATTTCGTTTGTCAATTAGTTGGCATAAATGCCGCAGAAACTCGCTCGCTGAAAATTAATTATTTTCCTTATTGTTTGGCGGCGAAATGATTATTTTATTTTGTTGATTCGTTTGCTTCTTTCTCCGCCTTCGTCAAGAGAGAGAAAGAGAGAGAGCTGGCGAGCGAGAGTGCTGAGGATGTTGTTGTTGTTGTTTTTCTGCTTTTTTCTAGTAATTTATTTTGATGTGTGGTCGATTTTCTGCACAAAAGAAGAACTTTCCAACCGAGCGAATATATAATATGTAACGATTGCGTTTTTGCCGTTTTTTTTGTATTGCTTCCGTGTCTTCCTGGCAATCGTATTACATATCTTTTTGCGCACTTCAGGAAGACGAAAATTTCTTTCTTTTACTGCGTTTTCGATTCCGGGTCGTCGGATATTTTAATTCTTGCTCTCTAAGGCGGTTACTAGAGCATAAATTGAAGCACTTGTTTTTATCGATTCAATGCGATTTCGCGCGATTCAGCACAAGTCAAATCCCTTCCCGAGTTTTTCGAAAACTCCGACAGCCAGGAAAGCAGATCGATTGTCTGTTTGAACCGTCCCGCCCCGATTGAAATTGAAATATTAAATGATTTTTTTCCGACGGCTGACGAGTATTACCGACAAACGGTCCACCAAAAATCTCCAACGACCTAAAACGTACTAAAAAATCCATTTTCCCGCCAAACTCTCACCACTGCCTCAAAACATGTTTTTCCACCTAGCTTAGCATTGGTTTGTGTCTCGGCTTAGAGCGTAACTGGGCTAAGTGTGTAAAATTACAAATGTATTTTATTTAAATTTTCTGTTACATATGTAAATTTTAAATTTGAACAAAAAGATCGTTGTAAATATCTTTATATTACTTTGGTTTATTTATTGAATTATTCCATACAATTTCATATGCATTTTGAATGTTTTCTTCATTAAATCATAAACAGTTACATTGTTTTACATTGTACATTTGATTATGTTTTACTTATTTAGTATTATTAATTTTAGTTCATACTTGTATAATTCTTGTTTGTGTATATCATATGGGTATTTTTACTATGCGTATGTGTGTGCTTGTCTCAACAAAAAATTATTAAACAAAATGAAAACAATTGGTTATCGATTAGTCATATTTTAAACGGATTATACTTTATTATCGGCTTCCCTTGATTAATGTTTAACCATATTGTATATAATAATATAATTAGTTAAAGCTACAACTTAGTGCGCATTCTTGTACTTCGCCAACAACTACAACAAAAGTATGACACATAAACAATAACAAAAAAGTTGATCGTTTTCTAACAACAACGAACGTATTAAATAATCCAGTTAAAACATTTGTTGTTAAAACAAAGAAAATGTAAAAGTTGTATTCTCATTAATTATTCTTGTTTGCTTTTACTTTTCCATTTTTTTTTTATATCACAAGTTAAAATTTTGATTATTGTTTGGTCAATTTTATTTTAATATTTATATATAGTACTTGTATATATAGGGTATTAGGTATGTGTGTAAATTATGTACATAAGAAAATATACTAATAGCATAATTTAATAAACATATTTCCGTTAGTTTCTCATATAAATTGGTCTAGATAATCAAGTCATGGTGTCTCATTAAATCGGTTTAATGATTTTGGGAAGAGGGATCGGTTCGGGATCTGGTTCCATGGTTTGGTATACAGAGCAGTTCTAACGATTCGAGAGAGATATGTGAGTACATATAGTTAAAAATAGTTGATTTTAGGAGATTACATAGAAATTCGAGTTAGTTGCATGCGTTAAGTTGAGAGTGATTTAGAATTATAAATCGTTTTCATTAAATATAAAAGATATTCTTGTGAGGTTCGTAGCGATGTGGTGGCCTGTGCTAATAATATATATGTTTTTCGATATGATAATTAGGTCTACATTGAGCTTCAAGAAAGGTTTAAATCTTAAAGGAATATTTTAAGGCACCCAAAATGTACAATATGGTTTCTAAAATTATCTCAAAAAAGCCTTACTTTTAAAAAAAAAATTTTAAAAAAAATCGAAAAGGAACAAGTTTAGAAAAATCTTTTAGAAGAATAAGGTTTAAAATAGTTATTGGTTTGGGTAACTTTTTTTTGTTTGTAAATGCAAAAAATGTAATAAAAAAAACTCTTAAAGCGTTTTAAGAAGTCTCTTCTATATATCTTTTCAAAATCGGTTTGTAGGAAATCTAGTTTGAGATATGTCGGCACCCCTAAAAACTTACAATGCCATCAAAGTGTGCGATATGTAGATTGGCATACATCCCTAGGACCTAAAAGCACATCCAACCACACCATCTACGATCCTCTCGTTTGAGCTTCCACTTCGCATTCCATTCGATATTAGTTGCAGGCGAGGATTAAGCCTAAGGAGCCATCAGACCATCGACTCTCTGACGCGACCTTTGACCTGTGAATTAGTTTCGAGATGTGATGTATTTGGGGATATAATATACTCGTATTATTTTGGATCTCCATGCACATCTAGACGTAGGTGGTGTAAGGGGATTTACACATAGAGAGACGAGCAGGGTGCGATATGTCGGGATTGGTTTGGGTTTCACTTCCGTTTCTGCCAGCAGCTTCGCATTCCTCTCCACTTCCGCTTCCGCTTGCCTCGATCTCGCGGGGTTATGGAGAAAACACGCGCAGGGATCGCAGCAAGGTGGCCAGCACATTGGCCAAGCACTCGGCCTGCAGGGCCAACGGACCCGCTCCAATGGGTCCGATCTCCACGCCCACCAGCTCCCTAAAACTGCTCGCCACGTCGTGAACTTTGAGCACTATATTCCTGGTCTGCAGAGGAGCGGATGTGTGTCTCGTCATGTCCTGCGCCAGTTCGGTGATCCTTCGAATGGCTGTCAGGCAGGAGGTCAGGTGCTCTGGGAGCGTAATCAACGTCATGTCCGACATGGAAGCCACCAGGAACTTACTGGCCGTGACCAAAGCCAAAGTCTGTTCGGTTAGCTCGTTCCTCGCTCGCTGGAACTTCTCCTCATCGATGGAGGTTCCCCCGCCAGCTGCCTGAGCCACCGAACACTGGGCGGCCACTTGGTCCAGTTTGATGAGCAATCCCGCCATGGCCACATCCGTTTTGGCCAAGAGCGCCTCGCCATCGATGAGATGGCCATTCTTGATGAACAACTTCTCGCCGTGCAGCTGCTGCGGTTTCTTGGGAAGCACAGGAGTGGTGCAGCCGTTGGCCTGGTTCAAGTGGGGCAGGCGAACGGTGGCCGGTATGGGTGGTGAATAGTGGGCGGGTGGTGCGCATCCGGGTGACGAGGTGTTCGGGTTTGGACTCTGATTCGGATTGACTCCATTCAAGGGACGCGGTCGATTGGCGATCGGCGGCAGCGGGGGTTTCTTGGGTCCACTCACCAGATTTGTGGGACTGCCCTGCTGTTGAGTTCCCTCCAATGTGGGACTTCCACGCGGCGGCAACTGCGGTGGACAGAGATCCCGTCGCTCCTGCGTTGGCACCACCGGACTGGCGACGATCCTCACCTGCTTTTTCGGGGAGTAACGCTGCAGTAGCTCCGCACTCTTTTGGTGGTCTCGCCGGCGGCGGTGAAAGTTGCTCGGCGGTTGGTGTCCTCGGCGGTGGTTGCACCTCCTCCTCCTCCTGCGGCAGCTCCTCCTTTTTGCTGGTGGGACAGCAGCTGAACTTGCTCTTCCGTTCCACGGTGGCGTATTCTATTACGTGTGGGGAATGGGTGGTGCTGCCATTATTGCTTCCATTGGCCACGGATTGGAAGAACTCCCGCTTTGCTTGCACGGAGTTGCTGTACAGACACTCCGTTTCCACAGGTTGCACCACCGATTGCACCACCGGTTGAACTACCGGTTGCACCACCTGCTGCTGCTCCAAATTGGGAGGTGGTGGTATGATGAACGACATGATCTCCTCGGGCGTGAGTTCCTTGGCGGGCGTGGCCTTCTGCGTGGGTGGTGCCACCATTATTTGCTGCAGGAAGCTATCCAACTCTTCGGCCTTTCCCTCGAATCCTTTTGGGGGAGCGGCGTTCATCAGGGAGAGCGAGTCCAGCTCATCGGGGGTCTGGGGTGGCGGAATGGCACGTAGATCGATGAGATCCGAATCGGTTTCGATGAAGGTGTCCTCCCGCACCTCGAAGCCATAGATTTCGGACAGCTGGCGGGCAGCCACATCCGTGTCCGCAGCTGCCGCATTGCTGATCTCCTTGAGCTGCTGCAGGTACTCCCGCAGGTTGTAGTCCTTGGTCTCCGCACCGAAATGCGTTCCATCGGGACTGTGGAGGCCGAAGCTGCTCCTCTGCGAGAGCTGCTGCTTGGCTGGGATAGCTGATCCCGATCCCGATCCCGCCGCCTGGAGGAGCATCATCTGCGGTCTCCTGGTCGTCGGGGACTGAGCAGGCGATGCCACCGACTCCGAATCGCTTTCACTCTGCGAGAAGTCCGTTCCCAAGGCCTGCAAGTCACTCAACAGCTGACTGAAGCCATTCAGCTTCCTTTGGGGTCGCGGACTGGAGGTGCTGCACAAACTGGGCTTCCTCTTCGGAGTGGCTGGCGTTGCAGGAGCGGATGTGGAAACCGGAGCAGTCTCGGGTATGGCATTCAATCCTTGGGTAATCCCACTCAGTTCGTGGTTTATGGTCTCCGCCAGGAGAGTCAGGGAATCACTGTGTTTCAGCGGATGTCCTGGTGGAATGGTCACTCCTGGACCCAGGATCACTCCACCCTGCGACTCCTCCGTCGAGGAAACCTTGCTGCTGTTGAGACTATCGCAATCGGAGTCGAACTCCAGCATGGCCACGCCTCCCCCGCCAACGCCTCCCTGTTCCTGTTCACTCAAATATTGCTCGGAGGTTTGAACGAGGTGTTGCAATTCCTGAACCCGCCGCAAAACCTGCTCGTTCTTGGCCTCCAATTGGTGGCTGCCCGTGTGGGTTCTTCCCTCGCAGTAGTTGCTACCACTGCTGTCACTAAGACCCGAGTCCTTGGCTGCCTCCTCCAGTAGTTCCGTGGCCATAACACTGTGCAGATCCAAGTCCATTACGTACGGCATCGAAGGAGGTCCCTGAATGGAGGTTTGTTGCTGCAGTTGAGGCCTCTGGACCAGAGGATGATATGGCGGCGCCATCAGGAAGTTGACACTGTGTGCTCGAGTGTGAAAAGGAAGCAGGTAGCTCCAACCCGCAGGAAGCACTGTGTGCTGGGATAGAAAACCAGGCGAGTTGTCCTCGTCATTCGGATCTCTTTCCCGCAGAATGCTTAACACGTTACCTTTTGAAGTAATATATAAATAAGTTATTTATTCAGTATATATTAATTCCTAATTAACCTCACCTGTTAGCAATCTGTAGTAACCTCCCAGAACCAGACTAAACTCGCAGCCATCGCGATCCTCCATGATGAACTTCACAGCTCGGTCGCCCAGCATGAATATGGATACACTGCAGGTCACATCGTCCTCTCGGTTGACCACCACATGGGTGAAGTCCTCGATGGCGGAAATAGGTTGGGGCTGCTTGAAAACATGCTTAAGTAGTATACGATTCAATAGTTAATATACAAGTAAATAAACTAACCACCGAATTGCGTGCACTGGATATCTGGCTGAGTCCGAAGCGCGGACTCACCAGAAGGACGCGCTCGACGCCCTCTCTTTGGTTTGTGCTGAAACATTTGGCTCCGTAGCTTGGTAAGCTGGCGATTATATCTAGATAATGCAGTTTGGCCTGAAAATTAAAGAGATTTCAAAAGGTTACTTATATATAATAATATATAATAATTAAATTTGAATTACGAACTATGATATATATAAAGACAACAGTGTATTGTGAAATCATAAACTATCATATAAGAGCATTAATTTCTGGATTAAAATTACCATATTCTTAAATTTCTCATTTCTAAAAATTACCTGATTAAGCTTCAAAGAATTAATGAATATTTATAAAAAAACTACTTATGTTTTAATACAAACTTTAATTTAATTAGATTTCTTCGGCAATAAACACTAATATTTCAAGTAGGCCTTGGTATCTGTTTTCAATAATCGAATTCAATTTAAAGGCTATAATTCCTTATATTTGTATGTTCTTTAAGCTCTTTAATCTGAGCTCACCTGCAGCTGTGTGAGAACCTTGCTGGAGGATCCAGTCATCTCGGCGTTGAGCTTGAGGAAGTGGGAAATCAGCCGGCGCAGTTCCTTCCGCTTCATGCCCTCGAAAAGGCTCACTGGCACGAAGCGCTCCAGTCCGAACTCGCGTCTGAAAAGGAGTCATTATATAGTAAAATTAATATAATACATACATCATATATAGTATTCAGTTCAACTTACTCGACCTGCTTAACAGTGAGCTTGGCGGGCGCAAAGTTGTTGGCCAATGCGTGCTGGTGCATGTGGAGTGCGGCCAATCGGAGGGCCAATTCCGGTTGCAACTCGGGTGCGAATCTCTCCTGGTTGACATCGTTGCAGCACTGCAAGTACAGGTAGTCCAGAGCATGCAGATCCCGCTGAGCCAACTCCGCAGCCGAAATGGGCACAAAAGTGATGCGGAACAGGCACCTCAACTTGTGAGCTCCCGGTCGAGCGGCAATCTTTAACATAAAGCAAGCGGAAATTTCCCATTTAAATAGAGATTATTTATAGAAATAGTTTATTGAATCAAAACGCACCCTGGCGAGGGACTCCTGGGGGTCGAGCAGGGTGAGCTTGTTCCGCTTGAGGCTCTTCACGTGCTCCAGCACCAAGCTGAACAGTTCGCCGCAGCAGAGACAGAGTTTGTCGAGCAGGGAGCTAACCACATCCTGAACCGTTGTGGTGGCATCGTACTTGAACGACTTGGTCTGTCCGTTCTCGAGGAACACCTTCAGCACATTGGCCATCGGGGGCACGCAGATGTCGCCCAGCGAGAAGGCAGATGGCTAAGAGAAACCGCAAACAAGAAATCAATAAACAATAATGGAAAAACTTCCGGCAACAAGTCAATCCCACTGCCACTTCATGAAACGACTTAAATTGTGTCTTCATAAAAGAAATCTCTCAAAACATTTCATTTAAGTTTAATTTATTAAACCTTTATTATTTGTTATTTTTCTGCTCATCTTGTGGTTTTTTCTTTTTAAGTAGTTCGTTCAATTCAAAATCTTCGTCATCGGGTGGAAGTGCAATAACACGTTTGGCACGCATTAGTACTTTGTGAACCTCAAAGTATCCATTCAAAAGGGCGAATTCTTCGAGAGCTGTCAAGTGTTTTATTGCCTCCTCTGTGGTGTCAATGAATATGTCATCTTTAAGTAATTCCTCCAGATTGTACACTTCCTTAGTTTGTTTGGTCCTAGTATTGCTTTCCTTATTTAGTATTTCTTCCAGATTGTACACTTCCTTAGTTTGTTTGGTCCTAGTATTGCTTTCCTTATTTAGTATTTCTTCCAGATTGTAAAGTTTCTTGGCTTGTTTGGTCCTAGTTTTGCCATTACCCTTTGACTTCCGTTTCTTACAATTCTTACAAAGACGTCTGGTTTTTTTTTTGTTTGACCCCTCCAATACCTTGTTCTCCTTGTCCATAATGCCTTTATTAACAGTTTACTTGAAATCAATATGCAATTATTTGTAACAAAATATTTTTACCGAATTTTTTTTTAATTTTTGAGCAGGTGAAAATATTACCAGTTTGGCTAAAAATCGTCAGATACTGTCAAATTCAAATGAACCATATAATGAGCATTAACTCCAGATTACTAGATCTTATATTATTTGATGTTGGAATTCTTCTTGCCATTTAATTTTTGTATCCATCAAATTCATATATTATATTACTTTTTTACCCCCCCGAACTCATCTTATATATTTTCTAAAAATAGAAGAATAAAAACTCACCGGAAACAGTGGCGCTCCATTGACGCACACACTCTCGGCGAATCTGACTCGACTAGGACGCGATCTCAGCTTGGCTCGTTTCCCCGCGGAGAGGAGAGTGGACTTCCTGCCCGGAAGGACGCAGTGCGCCATGGGTTGGCACACGAGGAGATTCACCTGCGATTCGCAAGCTCGCACCAACTGGATGACATGATCCCGCGGGGCATCCTTTACATCTTCCCCATTAACCGCAAGGATTTGATCGCCTGGCTGAAGTTTTCCAATGCTAGGACCTCCCTCAGTCACAAATCTCACGATTACAGGACGTTCACTCCCAGCAACGAATCCGAATCCCAGGCTGGCGTTCCTTTGAAGCTGAACTTGGCGGGGTTCCGGAGGATGTTCATCCCATCGGATGCACTCGGGTGCCTCGTAGGTGGTCGTTTTGTTGAGGTGGCTACATGAATTAGAAATGGATTATATAGGAATTAAATAAGTTATATAGGGTACCCACTTTATATAGTAGGAACGACCCTTGGAGTCTATGGCACGCTCCCATCCATAAGAGAGCTCCTCGTGTTTGCTCCAATCCTCGCAGGCAGGCAGCCAACCCGCAGTTTGCGTCATGTGACTGAAATGGTTACAAATAAAATAATGTTAAGTAAAAAACATGTACCTAAAATAGCAATTGTTTATATTTAATGTACACTTTATAAACAAACAACACACTGATTAAAAATATATTATTAAAGGTGGCAGGTAAGTTATGTTTACCATCGCATTGTCTTGGCAACATAAATAGCAAACCGTAGGCCAAATATTGACTTTCGATTGGGAATGTGTCAATGGAACGTTAATGTTATTACATCTGGTGATTACTATTGCTCAGTCAGCTGTCAGCTGCGATTTGTAACCCAATACAGCGGAAAGTATCTAGTATCTGTGTTTGTTACGAACCGCAGAAAAATGCAGTTCCTAAATAGCACGTTTTAATCATTAATAAGAACAGTAGCTAGAATAAATAGCTGAGCTCTTAATTATCTATTTTTCATTTTATTTTTACTTATTTAGAGATAATAACTAAGTTAAGAACTTCTGCTTGGTTCGGCTATTAAACAACCGAAAACTAGTATTGCACATTGATTTGTTGTCATATTTTTTTTTATTTATTCCATAAATATTATAGTCATGTTCGTGGTAACTTCCTATTTATAAATCATGCAGGAGTGCCGCCCACTTGCTCTAGACACTCCACCCAAATTGACCCTGAACTTGTGGTCAACTTTTGGCCTTCCACCTCCGATTTCCCCCAGCAACCCATTTATTTCTGAGCTAAGTACGCCAGCAAACGTCTGTTTTTCCCTGTGGGTGAGCCAGAAATGCATTTCAATTGACATTAATCAGAGCTAATTGGGTTATTTGCTCGACTTTGCAATAAACAGCAACCCATAATCGGGCCGCAGAACTAAAACTAAACCTAGCCCCAATCCGCACCCCATTCAAAGTCAGCTACAGTTGTACTTCTAGTTGATGAACAAACTAAAATAAATAAATACAAGCGAAAATAATAATGAAGAAATAATATAAAGATATATAAACCAAGTACCAAAGATTGAAGTACAATAATTAACTTCAGTTAATTAGAAATACTCTTAATTTTCTCTTATTTTATTTTATATAATATTATGGAAGCCGGACTGTGGATCCCCAGCAACATGGATCCCGAACCCCCAGTAGAGCGAAACCCCAGCTAAATCCAATTGCAGCCCACATCACCTTGGTGGCTTCCGTTGCTGTCTTTCTTCATTTCCTGACTGCACACAATTGTGATAATTAGTTTTGCACTTTTGCACACTCTCGTCGGTTGGAGGAGGAGGAAGAGGAGGAGATGGTTTTGGGGTCTAGGATGGGGCTCCCTCCCATCCCCATCCCCATTAAGCTCCAACCAGCGCTGTTCACTCATTCAGTCTATCGCCCCAGTGGCAGTCGACAGCCACACCCCCTCCCCCTCCACCTTGTTGGCAACCGCCCACTTTTTCAGTGGCCCACTCGGTTATGGCATTTTGTGCGCTTTCAGTTTGATGTGCAACAAAGTGTAAAATTATTTAATAGAATTTTGTGCATAATCAATTTATGTGCAGCAGAGAGCCCAGCATTCAGTCGTCCATTCAGCGTTCTTAGCCAGGCCATCTAAGCGGGCCAGGACCAAGTAACTCACTCACTCAGTCAGTCTGGCAGTCTGGCATTCAGTCAATCAGTCATTCCGTCAGTGGAACGAGGAGCATTGAAACGCTGAAACTTTGGCCAACCTAATGGCTATATAAATGTCGGACTTTCTGCTTTGTTAAATATTCCTTTTTGTGCGTAACGAACGCAAAGAACTGGCGAGGTTATTAAAGTGGTTTTTCAAAACCACCAACGAAAGTTTGCCACAAATAATAAATGTTGCCAAACTAAATGTCAGAAGTAGTTATTTATTTTTTGCACTAAGCCTTTAAAGCCTTTACAGCGAAATGCACGTCAATCAAAAGGGATTTGAGAAACTCAACTGTAATTTTAATGTTGTGCATTACTTTCGTTGGCTTGGTAAATTCAATTTATGGAAATACTCTGACGCAACCATTCTTTAAATTTAAGTGGCTGAGCTATTTGTTTCTGCCTTTGGGGCGGCCTAATTGGCAAAGACCATAAATCATTTAAAGTTTCTGGAAAGTTTTGAAAGGATATCTAATTGGCAATGCAAATAAATCTATTTTGTGCAGAAGTAACAGTGCTGGCGACTTTATGGGTAAACAAACAAATTATAAATAGTAAAGCTTGTGGCTGAAAGTTTGCGTTATTTAAAAAGGTAGTGTTAACTGTTTGAAAACTTAGTAAGGATTAAAAATGAGCAATATACTTGCAATACTAAATATTAATTTAAAGGGTAAATGGTAATGTTTTTACAATTCTCTAGCCCTAAAAAAACTAAACATTGTAAAACTTTTATTAAAGGTCAAATGAAATGCAAACTAAATGTTTAGTAGGCAACACCAAAAAGACAGATATTTAATTGATTTTTTTATAGAAATTCCATGGTAAACGTAATTTTAAAGGTCACATCACAATTTGACCTCCAAAACTAGTTCAAATAGTTTTAATTAGTTATTAGTTTACTCACTTGCAGTAGTAGAGCCTGCCCTCCTTGCCCACATGGACGCTCCAGCCGGGCTTGAGCTTCTCCTGAATGGCCTCCAAGTGTCCATCAATCTCTGGCCAATTTCCGGGGATGCCAGTTGCATGACTTTGACCCAGAAGTGGCCCATAGATCCCGTTGCCAGTGGTGGCACCCCCGATTCCGATCCCACTTCCAATTCCGATTCCGATTCCCTGCTCTGGATTTGTTGTAGTTGTTGCCTCCGTTCCGGTTGTTAACGTTGTTGCTGTTGCCGATGATGTGGCAAGTTGTGTTGCCATTGTTGCCGGCATTCCCGAGGATTGGGATTGAGATTGGGAATGGGTCTGGGGCGTTGGACATCCGTTCGAGCGGGTGGGCGTGGCATGGACAACGGAGCCATTTGTTGTCGGCAGCGTTGTCAATTGTGGCGATGATGTTCGTGTCAGTAGCAAGGGTTTCGGCTTCGCTGTGGCGCCACCACCCCCACTCCCAGTCCCACTCCCAGTTCCTGCTGCTGCAGCTCCTCCAGTTGTGTTGGCGGCATTTTGTAGCGGATAGACATCACTATTCGAACGCCCCGAAGGCAGTAACATCATTGAAACACATTCGCTGCAAGTAGAGAAGAGGAACAATCAAAAGGGGGAACATAAGACAAGTTGTTGTTGTTGGTGGTTGTTGGTGTTGTCGAGCCATTTTCACACATTGTTCCATTGGCCACAAATCACATTCCATTCCAAGACCAAGACGTAGACCAAGACGACCCAGTTTGCCCGGCAAAACAGGCTCCTCCATAACTCAACATCCAGCTAACAGTCTGAAGACAGACCATTGCCATTGCCTTTCTGGACTCGCCAAACGAAAAAAAAAGAAGAAAAAACAGGTCCCCCATAACAGACATCCCCATTACCATGGTCTTCATCATCATTATCATGGTAATCATCATTATCACGGAAATCATCATTATCATGATCAAGATCATTGGCTTTTGGTGGGATAGGTTCAGGTTTTAGGCCAACTCGTTTTTAATGTTATGACACAATTTTCGATTTGCTTTTACTGTTTGGATTCGTTCTCTCTTTTTGCATATGTTTCCCTCCTTTATTTGGCAATCGTGCAAAATTGGATTGGCCATGGCTATAAGGAACTGGTTCCGAAATGAGATCAAATTGCTGACATTGTTTCGGAAAATGGAGCTATTGGGTGTAGGCTCAAAGCGATACGGAAATGGAGAAGAGATCAATTGTGAATACAGAATAGAATAAATAAATAGAATAAATATAAATCTGAATAAATACAGATTTAAGCTGAGTAGCAAATGAAGTTTATACTTTTGGCAAGGATATGAAATCAATTTCAATAAATTGAAATATTTTCAAATTCATTCCGACTTTTTGAAAGGGATCAACTTTCATTTGCATGAAAATACTGTAATCCGTTAACATAATATTTTATCAATCCACATTTACCTCGCCAACATTTCGTTTGTTGGTTAAAAAGCAAACATGTCAAAGAAACTGAAACAAATTTCAACCAATTCGTTTCGGACAAATCCATTCAGGCATTGCCACAGAAATGATCAATCCCGCCCACATTGTTTACACTGTCCAAACTCTTCAATAATATCAAAGAGCATTTGCATAATGTTTAGATTTCAGCGCCACCGACACACAGCATTTCGACTTTTAACTCTGACATGGTTCAGTAAATGGCTTGCAAAATGATTCTTTTCCCCTTTTATCCCCTTTTCCCTATTTTTTTTTGTTTTTTTGATAAATTTATTCTGCAGCGGAAAAGCAGGAAAAGTGCAGGGATAAAACATGGATATGTTTGGCAGACTGTCGGTTGGTGGTTGTATTGCTGTATCTGTGTATCTGTGAGTATGTGTGTGTGTGTGGGTGTGGGTGAGTGGCAATGGCCGATAGTGCGACTAGTTGGATGGATCCTAAACAACAAGCCGCCAACAACGAACGGAGCAAAATGGATGTGTTTGTTTGCTTGCGCAATTTCACTCGATGGCTTCGGCTGCCGTTTTTGCGGAAACGAGGAGAAACGGAAAAAGGGAGCTCCGAGTGGAGCAGAATGAAGCAGAATGGAGTGGTGTGGCATGAAGTGTGGAGTGGCGTGGCATGGCATACGGATAGATGCGACTTCAAAAAACCAGATACGACAGAACCGAGCCAAACAAAGAGACATCCATTAGGCGAGGAGTTCCGTCGAGTTGGGTCCACGTTCAAAATGGAAATGGAAAAGGAGCAACGCAAGCAGCCAAAGCAGCCAAAGCAGCCAAAGCAGCCAAAGAGCTCATCATGGCTCGTGATAATCGCGGGGAGGGACTAAAGAAATGGATTTTGCACAGCGGGAAATGCCACCTAAGGCTTAAAACATGAGCCCTCAAAACACACAAAATTTAAAGTTAATCCCTACTTAAGTGGGTTTCAACAGCAGAAAGGAAAATAAGAATATAAAAAGCTCTTTAGGCAAAATAAGATCCTAAGTTGTTCTTTTAGATTAGATCATAACATATAATATATAGCTATGTAATATCATAATATTATGATTAATTTTATTTTAATTCTATAACTATTTCTACATATTTCTTGGAAGTTACGTTTTATTTCCTTAAATTAAGAAAGAACAATTTTAAATATATATATTTATTAGGTATATAACAAGAGGACAATTAGTTCTATGATGTTTCCTGGCTATTTTGTTTTATACAAACTTAAGCTTTTAAAAATGTAGCTTTCAATCAAAGAGGGACGCAGATTTTCGCTCAGTGTAAGCCAGGCGAGTAACGGCTTGGCAAACAACGGCAACCGGCAAGCGACATGGTCAAGTTCCTTCTCGGTCTTGTCGTGTGTACGAGCATTTTCCTCCATTCTTCCTATGTGGTGCAAAAGTTTTATAAACAACTTCACAGACACATACTCGAACACTAAAAACTGGAACACTTGAACAATGTTTTGAATTACATATTTTCTTTGTTTGGGAGTGGACCAAATAGACAAGTGCAAAAATGTTCATAAAGTTGTTCATTCGCTTTTTTTCCATTTTTTTTTTCTTTTTCGCCATCTCACGTTATTTCTTTTTCTGGGTTTTGGAATTCTCGACAGCGGAATGTTGATTTGACTCGAGACAAGAACTTGCCAAGCCGTCGAAAAGGATACTTGGCAAAGTATTTCGGTTTTAAATTGGAAATATTTCGTTTGGTAAAAAGAAGGATATGTTAAAAAAAAGGTTTAGGTATAAACATTTGGAAATAACATGATTGTTTGTTGATAACTAGCTTTATATCACTGTAGTAAAGTGTAAATTTATGCATATGGTTAGCCAAAAATAAACTTTTATTCCGTTGAAGAGTTCCAACTGCTTGGCAAACAAAAAGCGTTTTAAAAAGATCACACATTGCCCCCGCACCTCCGAAATTACCCACAAAAACGTTGAGGAATTTCAGTTACCGTGTTCAGAACTCTTAACTGTGCAAACATTTTCGCTATCGTCAGAAGAAGCTTTTCACATCCAATCCGATCCAAGTGTAACCGATACGAGCTACGAAATACGAAAGCGGTTCCATACATTTGGACACCGAGACCAAACACAAAAGTTGTCAAGAAAGAATGGTGGGCCGGATGGGGAGGTGGGAGGGGGGAGTGGCAAGAGAGGTGGGAGGGGGTGGAGGGAGGGGCAGGAAGAGGGGCCAGTGGAAACGGGAGCGACACTTCCAGCGAATGATTTGTGTCAACAGAGAGAAAAGGCAGCTGAGAAATGTTTATCCACGTGGCAGTGTAAGTGTGAGTGTGTGTGTGAGTATCTATGTGCGATGGATGACGTCGGGGCAATGACAGAGATCAGTAAATGGAAACCACACATAGCACATACAGTGAAAGACATAAATATAATATATAAGCCACTACTATATATATTCGATCCGCTTTGAGGTCCTAAGTAATTGAAAACAAAGAATTTAATAAGCTATTTGTGTTTTTCTCATATATTATGTTCAAGTACTATTATTTTAGACTTAAAAGCATTAAACATTAATCTCTTCAAAACTTTCCTGTCCAAAAACGCTAAGAAAAACTCTAAGACCAAACTGAGTTATCAACTAAATCTATAAGCGAAGCCGAAAACATTCCTAATTCCCAAAGCAATAACAAGCGCTTTGCATAAACTTTCAGATACGAAAAACACTCGAAAAACTCCACTTAAAATTGTAATTCCCACAGATAATTGCATAAACCTGCGGATAACATCTTGATTGCTATTAATTTGTCGGCAAGTGTCTGCGCCACGGACAATTGTAAAATGTCAGTGCGGAAATTGTGCGAAGCAATGAAAAGAAGTGAAATGAAAAGACAGCAAAAGTCTGATGATGGGCGATAACACACACAAAACAAAAAATACAAATAACAAAAATGGCATCAGCAAGAACGAAAATGTTGACCAACTGTAACAAATAAGAAAAAAAATAATAACAAACAACCGTTGGAAAACAAAGTTAAGCTCTGCAAATTGTCCCAGTTCCGAGGGCTTAAATGAAAGGTGGATTGTTATTGCCATTTTCCCCGCCTTCCAGCCAGCAATCTCCTCCTCGTCGAAGGAGGAAATTCTCTTTGTGGCAGAAATTAAACACAATTCGTGAATGCATTTGTTACTCGTCGTCGTCGTATTAAAGACCTCAGCAATTTGCAGCTCTTACAGTAGCACCATTTTCCTCCCTCTTCTACTTTTGCTACTGTTGCTTTTACCAATTTTGCTCCGTCTCGTTATTGTTAATTGAAAAGAAATTACGGCGGGCACAATGAATTAAAATTGCATGACGTTATTTATTTTGTCGACGCTGTCGCTCATTTCAATTACATTTAACACAAAGTAAAAGCAAAATAAATGGGACTGTGCCTATTTAAGAAAAATACGTACACGTACAAGTGGGCAACCTGCAACTGATTTAAAAATAATGGTAGTATTTATAGGTAAAATAATTAAATGATTTTAATACAAATTTAATTGGCAACTGAAATATTATATATACCTAATATAATGGAATTATAATGCAAAATACGATTTTCCTTACCAGGAGATAGTTGTAATACAAAAGTAACTTTTCATGTAAAGTTTAAAATTAAATCCAAGTACTTTTCAAACTAAATTAAACTTAATTTTTCTCAATACATTTTAAAATAATTTTCATGATCTGTAAATAAGTTTATTACTGCACCGCAAATCGATAAAATTAAAGCAAAAGCTTAAATAAAACGGCAACCTTAACACCCCGTCGGAATAACCATGTGCCAGCCATTTAGTTAGATCGTTATAAATACAGAGCCAACTGCGGTTGTGTGCGTGGCCATATCCATATCCATATAGACACGGCACCCATAACTACCCATCGATATATCGGGATATCGCCTGCGTCGCTTGCGGTTGAACGTGATTCTCAAAATGTCACGCACACACGGCAAAATGAAATGAAAGAAAATCAACAGCGGTATATCAATTTGTTTTTTATTTTTTTCCCCTTTCCCCCATGTTTTTTGGGGGAGGGGCTGGTGTGGGTGGGCGGTACATTCATGGAAACGCTTTCGCTTCAGACAGCCGGCGATAACATC